TTGTAGGTAATACTGTTAAATCCTGTTCTCCAACTTATGTATACTTTGGAGATGTGAATTACTACAGTTATTTGAATTGCATGTATTCAATGTCTTTGTATTTGGCTATGTCCTCACTTGGATGATATTGCTCGTGATGATAATGAAAAATAAGTGAGATGATACATGAAAACATGCTATGAAGCCTAAAGCCCTATTCCTATATGTTTTAGTGTCTTTAATGCTGTCATTATATATAAAAGCATTTAAAAAATATTCTATTTTGTAAAATTTCTTTATCAACTTTTAAAATAAAATTCTCTTGTTTTTAAATTTTTTTTATTTATTATTTTTTTATTTATACATGTATACAATGCATCTTGACCATGTCCATCACCACTCTTCCTGGACACTGTCCTGGAACTCACTATGTAGACCAGGCTGGCCTTGAACTCACAGAGATCCACCTGCCTCTGCCTCCCAAGTGCTGGGATTAAAGACGTGTGCCACCACACCCAGCCCGCTTATCAACTTTTAAAGTACCATAGTGACTACATTTTATGTGCAATGGAAGTAATTTAGGAATAGCAAAAAGTTCATGTCATCCTAAAAAATATTAGAATAATATAGTTTTAACTGAAGAATTTACTGTGCTTAGTTATTTGAAACTTTCTCCTCTTTCTACTCTAGAAATTTTTTTCTGCAATTATAGCCAAAGTTAATTTTAGAATTTTATGATGGCATGTTTCCAATAATTGATATATAATGGTTATTCTCTATGTTTGGTTACCATTTCTATATCTAAACCATACATTATATACCCACAAAGTGTTTTTTTATGGACAGATAGTTCTTCATGATGGCAATTGGAGCTTGTGTTTAATGTGTTTTTTAACTAAGGACTGAGTATATCAATTGTTTCATGTGTGTATTACTTAAAAATTTTTTTTGCATTTGTGTGTGTGTGTACTTTGGCATGTATGTGGAGGTACTTTGTAAAATTGGCTCACTCCTTCCAACATCTGGATTCTGCAGATTAAACTCTGGTTATCAGATTTGGTGGCATATTATTTTTTACATAAATAGTTAATCTTTCGCTTCCCTGAAGTCCATGATGTTTTGTGTATACATTAAACTTTTATCAAAGAAAGGTACCTATCTATTCTACTAAGGTAAAACTGTAAACCAACCTGGATTTTTAATGGCAATGGAGACTCTACAATTGCTCTAAACATTCAAAGTATGGTTTATTAAGAATTATAAAATCATTATAAATGTTAAAGAAGGAATATTATAATATTAGGTCAGAAGATGGTCCTGTTTAAAGTAGTTTATATTTAAGTATATCAGTCAGCATTCAACTGGAGATGCAGCATCAGTGGAATGGATAGATGCCATCTGCTAGACAAATAGTTGAAAAATAGATGATTAATAGATAGATGGATAGATGGATCAGTGAATGGTAGTTCAATTGATTCTTGAAGGAGGAAGGAAAGATAGAGGAAGGAGAGAAGGTGGGATGGAGGAAGATTATTAAGATTTGGTGAGCTGGAGAGATGACTCAGCAGTTATGAGCACTGACTGCTCTTGCAGAGGACCTGGGTTCAGTTCCCAGCACCATATGGTGGCTTTAACTATCTGTAACTCCAGTTCCAGGGGATCCGACACCCACCCTCTTTATGATCTCCACAAGCATTTCATGACATAGGTGTACTTACATACATGCAAGCAATATCTCTTAAAATCAAAATAATAAATAAAAGATTTTTAAAAAGATTTGATTCACACCATTGAGAGAGCTGATTAAGAATGTCAGATTCATGGGGCGGTAGTGGGAAACGGAAGCTCATGGGCAGACTCTAACACATGGAAAGGGGTGAAAGCTGCTTGCAAAGAGAATTTCTGCACTCTGAATGAAACTTCAGCCTTGCTATTGCATTCTGCCATGTGATCAAATCATTCCTGTCCAGATTATATGTGATAGTCCACCTTACCTAAAGTTCACTGGTGAGGGGCTTTTATTAATTCTGCAGAGTGCCTTCAGAGCAATGCCTGGCCTAGCTAAGTTGACACATCAAAAACAGAAAGCTGACCTTATGAATCTGAATTTTGAGAAGGTTTTTATTGAAGTGTATATAGCAAACCCTTGAAAAATGTAACTCTCCTCTTAAGGCTTTTAAATTACATAATATTTTCAATGTGTAAAGTTTGCTTTTGTGTTTTCAACTACTGACATGTCATAAGCATAAGAAATTAATTTTCAACTACCATGATAAATCCAATGTCTCCTTGTATGTCTTCTGAACTTATTTCATATTAAAAAAAGCAAAACAAAAAATATGCTTTATTTGTGTGACTATTATTTGAGTACCTAATGGCCTCTTTTGTAATGGTAGGTTTTGTGATTAAAATTATGAAGAGTCTTGAAGTTACAATAGGGAATTTAGTAATATAGCAGAAAAACTTGATTTTTTTTTATTATAAGAGCATTATATTCTGTAATTTAATTTGTTCATACAGGCAGTAGTTACATATATTTTCTTTTCTGAGAGTTTTATTTTATGACTACATTTGATTCTAAGTTGCTATAGTGACCAACATGCAGGATAATGTATATCTTGTAAATGCCTTGAAAAAACAAAACAAAACAAAAAAACAGCCGGGTGTGGTGGCGCACGCCTTTTATCCCAGCACTTGGGAGGCAGAGGCAGGCGGATCTTTGTGAGTTCGAGGCCAGCCTGGTCTACATAGTGAGTTCCAGGATAGCTGGAGCTACAAGGAGACCCTGCCTCAAACAAAAAACTAAAAAACAGAAAACAATTAACTAAGACTTTTTTTTTTTAATAAAAGAAGGTATACCATTCTCCCTTAAAGATATTGTGTCTTTGGAGTTAGACCTGAGTTTAAGTTTCAACCCTAGAACTTTTTATTAGCAGTTAACATCCATGAGCACCAGGTTCATTATCATCTCTAGAATGCAGACGTAAATTCCTATGTCTTAGTGCTTTTGAATCAAAAAAGCTTATTGACTTAATATGGTTCCTATAAGAAAGCCTTAAGAAACATCATGATTACAGTTACCCATTTTGATCATTTAAAGATGAAAATATCTAATATTTATCTTATTAAAAATACCTCTTTGGAGCTTAATTTTTAATTGTTCAGATTGTCATGCAATATAATGTGAGCCCCTCTCCTCTCTGCATGGCCCTTTACTGCCCCCTGCCATATAGATATTATATACATATATTGTATATGTATATAATATATGCTTATACAGTTTAATTTGTGTCCCCAAATGTCCAGTGTGGCACTACACACTGGAGCCTGGTTATCCTACCAAGAGTCCCATCCTTGAAAGAGACTGTCTCTCCTTTTCCCAGCAGTTATAGGTTGCCAAAAGTTCCTTTGGATTGGCTGGGGTTTCTTTTCCAATTCCCTCTGTCTATGCTTGGCTTTTAGCTGATTTGAGGTTTCATGGGACTTGCGCATACTATTATCATTGCACTGAGTTCATATGAGTAGCTGACTACCTTTCTGGAAAACTCCATTTCCTTGTGGTCATCCACTACATCTGGCTGTTACAATCTTTCTGCTCCCTGTTCTGTAATGATCCCTGAACCTTAGGAGGCAGAATTTGATATAGGTGCCCTGTTCAGGGATAAGTACTCTGTAGCCTCTTGTTCTCTGTACTTGGAGCAGTTTTGAGTTTCTGAGTTAATCACCATCTGCTGTGTAAGGAAACTTCTGTGGTGAGTGATGCCTCAGTCTATGGGTATAACAAGTCATTGGGAGTCGGGTTAATACTAAAACTATTTAGAAGAAAGCTAGTTATTAGGCTCTTCTCTTTGTCCTGTGACCTGTTTAGCCTCAGGTACAGGCTCCATCCTATGACACAGAGCTTATGTCCTGTTAAAGAATGATTGGTTACTTCCATAATATTTATTGTACTACTGCATCAGTGGGCATATCTTGCCAGGACAGCTGTTTATACAAGTTTACAGGAGTCACAGTTGGGTAGGATTGATAATTTTTTTTCCTTCAGGTAGCATCCATAGTGCCTTCCAGCACTTTGAAAACTAGCCAGTAGAGATGAGGCTCTGACTTTAGCACCAGATTGATTTCTCCTTGTTTGTTTTACAGCTCATCCATGTAGTGTCTTCAGTAATAGGGTCTTACCATCCAGTTCTGGTGGGTAAACAAGAGCAGGGCCAATGGCCAGTGTTGTTTGAGTGTCTATGGGACCCATGGGCGACAGCTTCAAGAGAGGTGATCCATTCCTGGTAGATGTCCATCATCTGATGAATGGAGAATGAAATTTTGATACATATACACAGTGGAATATTATTGAGCTCTTAAAAAATTATGAAACTCACAGATAAATGGATGGAACTGGAAACAATTTTCCTGAGTGAGATATCCCAGACCCAGAAAGACAAACATTACATATTCTGTCTCATAGGTGGATGCTAGCTTTGAAATCCTAGATATGCATGTTTCAATTTGAAATTTCAGAGAGGTCAGGAAACTAATAAATGGCCATGGAGATGGGGGGGCATCCTGGGAGGGGTTCTAGAATACACTGATTGAAAGATGGAAAAGGTAGCATTAGAGTGGGAAGGGTTAAATGGTGTGGGGAATGGGAAGACAGGGCAGAGGAAGAGAGTATTGGGAGGGATAAGTAACACCAAAGGCTTTTAGATAAGTCATACTGAAACCTACCACTATAGAAGCTTCTTACAGTATGTAAATATACATTATAAAAAGAAATGTAAAGGAGTTACTTTTTAACAGGAGGATATTGCTCCTACTAGACACCATAGGCTAACAAAAGATACCTCCTCTACCTAAAACAATTCAGTATTTTGATTAAGAAACATCTGACAGTGTAATTAATATGAGCTTTCAAATTTTGAATATAAGAATAGGTCACTTATGTTAAAGTAGTTTATATAATGATCACATGAATGAAACAAAATAGATATCTACATTCTCAATGATATAGGTGTGTGTTTTTATAGGTTTGCCTGAATCCATCATTGCAGCTGCATGTTCACGGAGTGGCCAGAGGGTTCTGCATGTTGATTCGTAAGTTGCAACCACAGTAGCATTTAATACTTCTAAATATTTCTAGACAAGATAAAATGTAAACATGCACAAATATATGTATGAATGTATCATATAAAACTTCTTAAAGTAGAGCATTGGAATTACTTCATTATCATCAACAATATATGAAATATATAAAATACAGAGTTTATTATTTTATTATTTGAAAAATTTCAGTTTCCTTTAAGAATAAATTAAATGCATCTTTCATTTTTTCCATGAGCCTATTTTGCTTTTTAAATAATAAGTAATTCTTCAAGAGGCTTGGAAACTGTATATGTGCCTTTTTCTTATAAAAAATTGCATGTGTGAGTGCATACAACATATATATGTTTTTGTATTTTAGCCTTCATATTTTATTGTTGTAAAATTTGGCCAGTAGATTTGCATTTATGGTTTTGTTAGAGTTTTTTAAAATTTGGACTTAGAAATATCTTAATTAGGAAAAATGTCTAGAATTAAGTTGTCTCATTTTGAAAAAATAATAATTTTTATTTTTTCTTTGAGAATTTCATGGTGTCTTTGATCATATTCATTGCCTTCTCTCATCTCTTCCCAAATTCACCTCCACCTCCCTACCCACCAAATTTCATTTCCTTTTTATAAAACCCTATCAAGTCCAGTTCCCCAAATACTCTTGGGTATGGGTCCATCCTCTACAACATCATCGATCTACCAGTGGTTATACCCTTTAATAAACTGACTGTCCCTCTCTCAAGAGCTCTGAATTGCCAATAACGCCACAACTCCAGATGGGATTTTATGCGCACTTCCCTTTTCCATACTGGGATTTTGTCTGGCTTGAGAATGCACAGGACTTGTGCATTCTTTCACACCTGCTGTGAATTCCTATGTGGAGCTGCCCTGTTGTGTGCATAGACACTATATCCTTTAGTTCATCTACTTCCTCTGGCTCTTACAATCTTTCTGCCCCCTCTTCTGAGATAATCCATATAAGAATATATCCCATTTAGACCTGAGCACTCAGCTCTTTTATTCTCCAGGCTTTTGCCATTTTGGGGTCTCTGTGTTAATCACTATCTACTGCAAAAGGAATCTCTGATGAGGGTTAACAGATGCACTAATCTATGGGTATATTTATAAGCCATTAGGAGTCCTACTTTTGGCAGGATGGTAGTAGTAAGTTCCACCCTAAAGCCTATGACCTATTTAGCCACAGGTTCTTGTCCCTGGTAATTGTCAGGTATGAGTTCCATCTTGTGGAGCAGGTCTTAAATCCAATTAGAAAGTGTTTGTTCACTCTCATAACATTGCACCATTGGGCACGTCTTGCTAGGCCAGTTGTTATTGTAGCTAACAACATTCATATCTGGGAAAGATTGATGATTACTCCTCTGGTAGCTTGCTTGGTACCTTCCAGCACTACGAAAGTGAGCCAGTAGGGTTAAAGATTCTATGTTGGTACCAAATTGATTTCTCCTTTTATGAATCAAGTATATAGTCTTCAATAATACAGTCTTACAAACAATTCCACAGAGTCACTAAGAGCAATGTCAGTAGCCAGTAATGTTTCGGAGTCTGTGGCACCCCACTGACCTACAACACCAAAAGAGGTAACCCATTCCTGACACTGGGTTTTTCCATTTATTTATTAATATTTTATTTATTTTTTGTGTGTATGAGTGTATTACCTGCATGTAGGTAAGTGCACATATGTCATGCAATGCCCATGGAGGACAGAAGAGGCCATCAGATCCCCTGGAACTGGAGTTATGGACAGTTGTTAGCTGCCATGTGGGTGCTGGGATTCAAACCCTGGTCTTCTGCAAGAACAACCAGTGCTCTTAACCACTGAGCCATCTCTCTAGCCCCTGGGATTTTCCATTTAAACTCTGCAAGTGTGTGTATGTGTGTATTCTCTCAAATGTGATGACAAATGTTAAACAGTTTGTAATGGTAAAATGTTAAAGGAAAGCAAGGTTAAGAGGCATAATTTTTTTTAAAAAAAATCCTTATTGAATATTTTTGTATTTCATATAGAAAATCATCTTTATACCTCTTTCCCTTTAGCATCTTCCGATAGACCCCTCCCACACACTGGAGATCATGCATTCTATCATTTATTTTAAGGCCTATTATGTAAAATTAGTGCCCAAGATGTCCCTCAGTGCAAGTTCATTCACTGGGATCTAGTCAGCCTCTCTAGAGTCCCGTCCTTTAAGAGGATCAGCTTTTCCTCACCTAGCAGTAATCAGCTGCCAATAATTCTTTGACTAAGATTGGGGTCTGCTGTTCATTTCCATAGTTCTGTGCTGGGTTTTTGTCTGTTTAAGTTGCATGCGTCTTGTGTATGCTGACACCACTGCTGTTTGTTTGTATGAGAAGAGTCCCAGCAGTCCATAGGATTATTGCTGTATGGTCATGCAACTCTTCCCTGGCTCTTACAGTCTTTCCACCCCCTCTTCCACAATGGTCCCTGCGTCCTGGGTGGGTGGGTTTTAATATAGGACTTCTGTCCAAGTACACAAACTCTGCAGACTCTTGTTTATTCTCTGCATTTTGGCCATTTACAACCTTTTGCATTCCTGGCTCTGTTGCATGAGGGAGCTTCATTGATGAGAACTGAAAGATGCATCTGTGTTCTTTTCATCCCTTGTTATATGTTCTGTGAGCCTTAGGTGTAGAGGTTGCATCCTAGATGTACCACTTGGATTTGGGAAATTCACAGACAATGTCTCTGTATGACCAGGTGTGGAACTCTGTAATTATCTCTGACTCTTGAAAAAGAAGCTTCTTTGATGGGTGGTGACTGGGATACTTGGCTATAGATTTAAGGATTCCTATTTTGCACATAGTAAGAAATTACATTTGTCTAGGGTTGTGACAGCCTTAGAATTTTCTCTAAGATCTATGACCTCTGCAGCTATGTGTATTTGGCTAGGTTTACAGTACCACATAAGAGTTTCCTCCTACCAAGTGGGCTTTAAGTCCAATTAGGTAGCCGTTGGTTAACCCCAAGATAAAAGTGCCACTACTGTACCAGTGTCATTTGCTGTGCTGGTCACTGATGTGGTTTTTAGGCCTTGAAGCTGGAATTGAACCATTGATTGAAGTTCTCCCTTACCAGCTTGCATAGTGTTCTCCAAAGCTATGAGAGCTAGCATTCAGGGGAGGTGGTTTCCAGGTCAGTTCCAGCTCTCTTGCTCCAAACCCTGTGACCAAAGTATGTCCTCTTAAAGCAATAGGGTCTTACCATTAAGTTCTGGGAGGTAATCAAGGACTATGGCAATAGGCTGTGTACTTTTGGGAGCCTCAGACTACCCTGGCCAACAACTCAAAGGAAAGTTTCTCTTCTCTGGCACTGTTATTTGTTGTGTAGCCTTCAGCTATACTCATGGACACATGGAGAGATAGTGTGTGTGTAATTTTTCAGTAGGTTTTTGGACTAATATGATTCCGTCTGGTTTTTTATACTAGCTAGGCACTATTTATCTCTCATCTTTCTCTCCCTGTCTTATCCTCTCTCCTAGCCATCCCCAGCCACATTTTTAATGTCTATTTTTTATTTCATTTTTATGTGCATTTCATACAATACATCTTAATCATATTTAGATCCCCTCCCATTTCTGCACACACACCCCCCCATGGCCTTCCCACAGGATTTCATGAATTCTGTCATATATGTTAAGGCCTGTCGAGTCAATTTTGTGTACCCATATGTTCCCTCAGTGTTAGTTCATGTACTGGAGCCTGGTCAGCCTATCTAGTGTCTCTCCCTTAAAGAAAATCAACTCTCCCTCACCCAGCAGCGATCACCTGCCAGTAGTTCCTTAGCTAAGGTTGGGATCTTCTGCCCATTTCCCCAGTTCTATGTTGGTTTTAGTCTGATAGTGTTTGTATAGGTCTTGTGCATGCTATTACCATTGCAGTAAGTTCATATAAGCAAGTCCCCAGAAACCTAGAAGACTGTTTCCTTATATTTATGCACTTCCCTTGTCTTTTACAATCTTTCTGCCCCCTCTTCCTCAATGGTCCCTGAACCCTGGGTGGTTGAGTTTTAATATAAGAGTCCTATCCAGACACATGTACTCTGTAGTCTCTTATTCGCTACACTTTGACCAGTTGTGGCTTTCTGTATTTATCACCCTCTGTTGCATGAATAAGTTTCCTTGGTGAGAGTTGAGAGATGCATTAATATTCTCTATACTCCTTGTTCCTCTATGTTTCCTTAGCCTCAGATGCAGAGGTTGCATTGCAGATGTGTCACTTAGGGTTGGGCATCTCACAGACACTTATTCTATGTGTGTTACCTGTTGTGGAACTCTGTAATCGTTTCCATATGTTGCAAAGAGAAGCTTCTTTGATGAATAGTGACTGGAACACTTGTCTGTAAATATATCTATTGATTTTAGCATACAAAAAGAAATTTCATTTGTCTAAGAATGTAACAGACGTGGTTTTCTCTAGGATCTATGACCTCTCCAGCCATGTTTATTTGGCTGTGTTTATAGTGCCATACATGAGTTCCTTCCATTGAGTTGGCTTTATGTCCAAATAGATAGCTGTTTATTATCCTCAAGATAAAAGTACCACTACTGCACTGTTACAGTTTTCCATTGTTGTGGTTATTAGGCTTTAACGCTGAGGTCGAATGACTGATGATTTTCTCACATAGCTGTTTGGATAGTACCCTCTACAGGATGAAATTTAGACTTCAGGGAGGAGGCTTTCAGTCAGTTCCAGCTCCATGTATTCCTGCATCCCTTGAAAATAAATCATAAATGTTTCATCTACCTATTTACTTATTTGGAACAGTGTGTCTTTCTCATTGACTCAGATAGAAAGAGCAAATAGATTTTCTGATTTCTGTTAGCAATTAACTACAGTATTTTCCAGAGTGATAAAGAATAAAGTAGAGCTGAATTTGTAATAGTGTCTAGTGATTTATCATCTTTTCATATTGTAAATATCTAAGAATGCAAAAATAGTGTTCATTAATTTATATTTAACCTTTCATT